GTATGATTGATGTGTGAGGATTGACAGAAACCCAGATATTTGTATGTATCATTTCGTTCTTGGGCTTCGATTATTTCGTTATTCTGGGTTATATGTGGTCCTTGGTGTTGAATGCCTTTTCTGATTGCTTGGGTCTTACATTTCTCAATACCAAAACACATACCAATACCACCGGAAAACTGTTCAGTCAGATTTAATAGGTTTGTTAACTGATTTTGTGTACTTCCATATATTTTTTATGTCATCCATATACAGCAAGTGACTTATTCTGTTTTCTCTTTGTTTGTTAATTCTTATATTGAACCCATAATTGCAGCTGTTCAGGATATCGGAGAGGGGATTTATTGCTAAGCAGTCTACAAATCTCTAAACCCAAACTTATTTAAAAGAATAATATGGGACGAACCCCTTGGTGGATAAACACCATCCGCGCTAAAAGCTAGGTACTTCAAAAACCGTTGTTGAATCTTCTCCAATGTGTCTATATGAATCCGAGAAAATGGAGACCAAACAACACTTGCGTATTCAAGCTTGGATCGCGCATAAGCAAAATATAAAATTTTCAAACAATCAAAGTCACTAAAACTACTGCCACATCGAGTTATTTAAGAGCATGGCACATGGAGTCAAAAGTGACTCCCAAATCACAGAAAAAATCAACTCTAGTCAAAATTGTGTTATTGAGATCATAGGGATACAAGGTTTGGGTATTTTTGTTAGTAAATGACATAAGCATTTGTCAAAATTTACCGGGAGAAAGTTTGAATTGCTCCAACATAGAAATTTATGCAGATCATCTTGTAACATCCGGCAGTCATTAATACTCGAAACAGTTGCAAAATTTTTTAAATCATCCGCGTACATAAGAATGTTTGAACTAATACTCTTTGCGATGTCATTTATATAAATCACGAACAAAAGAGGTCCCAGAACCGAACCCTGAGGCACTCCAGACAAGACAGAAATACTATCTGACACATGACTATTATATTTAACGCACTGAGTCCTATCGGATAAATACGTTTTTAACAATGAAAGTAATGAAGCAAAAAACCCAAAATTACTTAATTTAACCAGCAAAACAGCATGATTAAGTTTGTCGAAGGCCTTCGAAAAATCAGTCAACCTGGAGCATAGCATCAAAGCTTTCTGAAACAAACTGTGTGAATACACAGAGGTTAGATATGGTAGAACGGTTACTTACAAATCCATGTTGACAATCAGATATTTTACTACGAACATTAAATAACAAAAATTTATGTAAAACAGATTCAAAAACTTTAGCAAAGTTACAAATTAGCGAAATAGGCCTGTAATTCTCAATTGTATTTCTATTCCCTTTCTTAAAAATTGGTGAAATAATAGAATGTTTCCAGATATCGGGAAAGATGGCAGAATTCACTATTAAATTAAAAATGACTGATGAGGGATGAGAAAGCACCGAAGCACAATCAGATAATAAAAAACCCGGAATATTATCGGGAGCCGCTTTTGTCTGGAGTAATAATTTTGCCATCAGAAATATTTTTCGCGGTCAAAGTTCCATAACTCCCAACTCTTTTGGAATTTGTAATGTAGAAATTGCTGTCAACAATAAATTTCCTTCTGTTTTTAGGGCTCTAACCCAGTTCGAAATGTTGCATGGCCTTGTGGATATAATTCTCTTCAAAATGAACAGAGCATGTTCGTGCTGCAAGGGAAAAGATTATAATCTCTTGAACATGAAAAAAGTGGAAGACCACTGCAGCTTTAATCACTGCAGTTCTTTAATAAGAGTTCAGCATGTTAAGATGATATAAAGTTTCAGTTGATGGGAAAATAAAGGGTAACAGTAAGGAAATAAGACAAGACAATGTTACCTAAAAATATCACAGACATTTGGATTTAAGTTATACTGTGACACATTTCATAAACTTATTATTATATTTTTCAATATTTAAACGAGGAGCGAGGAGTTAGAAGATAAAAGCATTAATAGGAACGAGATGACATTCTAGGAACCAAAATGAATATCTTACCAAGAAGGTAGAATTTTGTTATTCTGGGTTATCCATGTATTTCTTGTAGAACCGAAAAACAGTTCTGTCAGATTTATTAGATTTGTAAATTGATCTTTCGTACTTGCATATATTCTTATATCATCCATTTATAGTGACTTAACCCACTTTTTGCTTTGGTGTTAAATAATTGAAACCATAATTGTAGCTATCGGAAAGAGGATTTATTGCATAGAACCATAGCAGATTGAGGGAATCGCCTTGAAAAAATCCTCTTCTCATCATTATTAATCTCTTTGAATTGTTGTAAGGTTATTTGAAGGGTGGTTTTCCAATGAACATTTGAGATGAGCACAGATTTTATGATCAACTTTGTACCATGTGTTCATTAATTATTTAGATCAAAAAGTGCTGTGCGATTTTGAACGTATGTTTTCTCGGGTTTGGATAATAAAACTAGTGAAAGAAAATAACTTCTGCAGAACTGTAAATAAGCTTACTTAAAAGGCGAAAACAAAGTTAAAGGAACTGTTGAAAATGGTATCCATTCTCCTGTATATATAAATTGGCACGTCTTTTCATGTTATCAAACTAAGAAAGAAGAATAAATAATAGTTATTTCCTCCCAACCGGGAATAAAATGGCACTTTATTCCCCCGTTTTTGGTAATAAAGTGATACTTTAGTTCCTAAGGAATACAGAAAGAACAATTTAAATGAAATAAAAAATTTTATTCTTTTGTTTATTAACATTTACATTAATAGAAACCAAGAATTCATTATTTTTATTACCAACAAGTGAAACCTTGCTGGTCTTGCTAGTTGAAATTTTGTTTCTGCTGATTGAAGCTTCATTGTCATTATTTTCATTATCGGTGAAAATCTGTTTTGCAATTAGCGTTTTACCTTGAGCTGAAGATTCTATGTAACGTTCTACAACATCTCCAGATTTCCAACCGTCTAAACGCTTTACTCTCGCTAAATCAACACCACTGTCTGCCAACAGAATGGGTGATGTTCTTCTCATACAGTACATTCTTAATTTCTTTCTCCTTACACCATTTCAAGAATTGTTAGTAAGCCTTTTTATATACATTTGTCGATTTCTCCGGAAGCAAATTGAACTTTATTTGCTTCTCCGATTTTCATTTTTTCCATTTTTTAATGATTTTATTCATAAAATTAATTAAAGTTGATTATTTTAAGTGTTTTTTTTTGACACACAACAAACTCCTTTCCTTGATAACTGTCAGGCCACTTTATTTAGATGGTATCCATAACGAGCAATCATAATTTTCGTTTGTAATTTATTGTTAATTTAACCGGCTTGGAGGAAAGATTTATATGCATCTCTGGAATAAACTTTTTTAATCCCTTGATTGAAAGGAAGCGAGGACATCACTTACAGTCTAAGGATTAATGTGGTAGTTTATTCCCTTGATGCATAAAAGAATAAAATTTGGTATTTTACTTAATTTGTTCTTACTGTATTCCCTAGGGAATAAAATACCACTTTATTACCAAAAACGGGGAAAAAAAGTACCATTTTATTCCTGGTTGGGAGGAAATTAATTTATAATTTCGTTGATTGAAATCTTTTGAATTATGTGGTTGCTATTTGATACCAAATATCAGGACCTTAAATTTTTAAAGTTAATTTTGATACACTGGACATTTATTCACTCATATTCCAAGCTTCAAGCAAGTTAACACACAAATGTGAATTTTTTACAGAAAAATTCAGATTCAGTGCTTCAAACACACAATTCAATTTTTATCATTGCATATTTTCCTTTCCCTTTTGTCGATCATTCCAACTAACCTGATCACCTCCCGACAAGAAATCCACCCTCCACTCGTCGATATCTGATTAGGACGTGATGACTGCCAGCGAAACCCCCAAGAGAGGGAGGATTATATTTTTGTACGTGAATGTCCGAGCGCAAGTGTGTTTGACGGTGTGATTTTTCACTTTGATATTTTGACAGGGGTGTAAACTGACCAAAGTAAAGCGAAAGTCGCCGTCCCCTCCCCACCTGCCGCCCCCTTAATTACCCCTCCCCGCCCCTCCGTCTTATTAATACAGCCGCCTCCATCTCGGCCATAAATGAAGAGCTCAGGGGCGCCTCGAGCTCCGTGAAAAATGGTTTAAAAATTTAATTATCTTGACATCAACTGCGGAAAATCGTAAAGTGGAAATGCGCCTTTCAAATCCAATTAACTCAAAAATACGCCGGGGAACTGACGCCGACACCGAGCCGATCGGATAATAAAGAGTTCGGGGAGGAGGGAAAAAGTTTGAAAAATATCCAAATGGAATAATGCATTTAACGTTCTCTTAAATCGCGGTTCGGGAAGATCCGGCGGTTTATCGAACGAGGTAAACTATACACGCGGATAATTGGGAAATTAAGGGGCGGATTTTAGGCTAAAAAAAAGCCAAAATAATCCCTAACACTGTAATACTTTACTGACAAGTTTCAGCTCTTGGTACCCGGTATTTCTAATTTAGTTATACTTGTTTTTAGGCGGTAAAATGGCTTTTTATATAAGCTAAATTAAATGTAAAAAAAAGGCAGCGAAAAATAAAATAGTAAATTTTCTCTATGACTTTCCAATCGTTACTTACCTTGCTATTTTGCTACTCGACTCATCATAATCAGGTCGTATAATTTTACTGCATCCAAAAATAACGCTCTACTCTGAAAACTTTAGCTTTTTAGAGCAATTTTTTGCAAATACGACACCGCCTCTGTTACCTATTAAAGCGAAACGATAAACCTCCCGAACCTAATTAACTCAAAAATCGCCGGGGAATGACGCCTCCGAGCCCACCCGGCAATAAAGAGTTCGAGAAAGAAAAGGTTTGAAAAATAACCAAACGGAATAATGTATATAATATTCCCCTAAATCGTGTTTTTTCGGGGCTATTCTTTTATCGAAGGTGGTAAAATATGCACATAATTACTCAATTTTCAATAGAATGGGGAAATATTTCATTGTAGCGCGCTGGGGTCCGACGTAAAAATTGGGACGATTCATCATTTTTTGGGAACGCCCACCGTACGAGTGAAGAAAAAAAGAGAATTTGTTGCTTTTTTGGCAGTTTATTGGGATGGACGGGACGGGGGTGAAATGAAGTCAACAGCAGTATCTGTAGCCGCTCACGCCGAAGTAGTTGTTGTAGCATTCTGAAAACGAAAAAAAATGGGTTAGTAGTAAAATTATACAGAGGGTTGCTGACTTTTTTAGTTTGCTTTAAATATACCGCTGCCAGACTGTACCTACTTGTTATTTTCAATTTCTTTCTAAAGGATCTTTTGATGTTTGTTTATGGATAATTTTTAAACGAGTTGTTTGTATTTTCCTTATCTGCTTATGTACATATATTGAGTGAGGCACTAAGCGGTCCTCGACATTCCATTAATTCTTATTAGAAATAGAAAAAATTCGAAGACCAAAGTTGTACAGTTCTTTGAGGACTATATTCTAAAATCATTTTTAACTACATAGAATATTCTGTTTTTAAGGTGTAACAGAAACTATTTTTTTTTAATGAAACACCCTATACACTTTTACCAATTGTCATTAGCCTACCACTAGGCTTTGTAACTAAATAATAAAAAATTTCGTGTAATATACCTGAGTAGAATTTCATATGCTCTGTTTTCCGACGTAATGTACGCGAAGATTTCAATAAACAGTTTAATTTTAATTTGATTCATAGCCTGAAGAACCACAAGAAAATTTAATGGACAGTACGTTTTCTACAGTCTCGAGGCTCCACCTTTTTTTTTCTTATAGTGTATATAATAATTTGCCATAGTCAGTCTTATCTTAGTCTTAAGTAATAGCTTTTGTAGAGTGACAATGGGAACTAACAGAACGTATGCTGCTAAAAAAAGGAAAAAAAGGGCTAATCGTAATTTTCTTTGTTTCTACATACTTGACATTTTTTGTAGCTTTTTTATGTTACTTTTTGTGTGCCCATTCTTCGTCCCTTTTTTATGGTCCTTGTCGCATTTTTTGTGATCTTTTTTTATTTATTTTATTTGCCTTTCTTATTCACGCCTTTTTTTTGGAAACGTTTTTATCTATCCTTGGTTTTCTCTCCTTTTTTGTATTTGTCTGACGCCTTTTTTCGTCCCTTTTTGTTGCCTTTTTCCTTTTTTGTCGAGATTTTTTGTTTTTACTTGGTGGCTTTGTTGCAGCATTTCCTCGTCGTTTTTGCCGCATTTTTGTGACATTTCTTTTTTTTGTCTCTCATTTTTTTGTCCATTTTTTATCAGATTTTTATCGTTTTTTTTCTTTTTGATAATATTTTTTATTGTAGTCTTTCTTGTGGTTTTTGTCGTCTTTGACGCATTTTGTATGTTATTATTTTGTTATCTTTTCTATCGTTTATTCTTGACTCCAATTTTTTAGTAATTTTCGAAAATGGATCAACAACAGTCGAAACAAAGATGCAGTTTTTTTAGTCAATTTTTAATTTATTTTTGTTTCTTCGGTTTTTTGATTTTGGAATTTTTGGATTTGAATTTCCCGAGTTTACAATTGTGAATTTTTCAATTTATCCAGTCGCAATTTTTCGTTTCGTTTTTTTTCTATTTTTCCATTTATTCAGTTTTTCAATGTTTCGATTTGCGATTTTTCAATGTTCCCTTTTTTTTCTCAGTTTTCATAGTTTGCAATTTTTCGACTTAAAATTTCTCAACTTTGCAATATATAATTCTTCAGTTTTTCGATTTTCCAACTTTCGGGTTTTTCAGTTTTTCAGATTTTGCGGTTTTTTGATTTGCATCAATTTCACGAGTTTAAAATTTTCCATTTTCAAATTTTTCGATTTTTCAATTTTTCGTTTCTTCAATTTTTCGGTTTTTCAACGACCTGATTGAAATTAATCGTAATTTTCTTTCTTTGTTATGGTATTTGCTATAAGATTTATTTTTTATTTCAAGAAAAAAAAATGAGAAAACGGGCGGGTGGGTGGGGCTAAGTTTAACTTTTTCTTATGGATTTTTTGTCCAGTCTTTTATAAGGAGGCAATAGCTCCGCCCATCCACCCCCTCTTCATTCTAGTGATTAATCTTATCTTAGCAAATACTAGCCCCGCCCACCCGCCCTCACTTTTCTTACAGTGTATGTAATTTGCCACAGTTAGTCTTATCTTAGCAAGTACTAGCTTTTGTAGAGTGACAATGGGAACTAACAGAACGTATGCTGCTAAAAGAAGGAAAAAAACGGCTAATCGTAATTTTCTTTGTTTCTACATACTTGGCATTTTTTGTAGCTTCATTTATGTTACTTTTTGTGTACCCATTCTTCGTCCCTTTTTTATCGTCCTTGTCACATTTTTTGTGATCTTTTTTATTTATTTTATTTGCCTTTCTTTTTCGCGCTTTTTTCGGAAACGTTTTTATCTTCTTGTTTTATCGCATTTTCCTTGCTTTTCGCTTTTTTTTGCATTTGTCTGACGCCTTTTTTCGTCCCTTTTTGTTGCCTTTTTGCTTTTCATGTCGAAATTTTTTGTTTTTATTTGGTGGCTTTGTTGCAGCATTTCCTCATCGTTTTTGCCGCATTTTTGTCTCTCATTTTTTTGTCCATTTTTTATCAAATTTTTTGTGGGCTTTTTTTTGTTGTCTTTTTGGTCGAATTTTGTATCTCATTTTTATCGTTTTTGTGGTTTTTGTCGTCTTTGACGCATTTTATATGGTATTAATTTTATTTTGTTATCTTTTCTATCGTTTATTCTTGACTCCAATTTTTTAGTAATTTTCGAAAATGGATCAACAACATTGGAATTTTTGGATTTGAATTTCCCGAGTGTTCAATTGTGACATTCGTAATTTTTCGTTTCTTTTTTTTTTCTTTATTTTTCCAATTGTTCAGTTTTTCAATGTTTCGATTTGCGATTTTTCAATTTTTCCTCTTTTTCTGATTTTATATTTTGCAATTTTTCGACTTAAAATTTCTCAACTTTTCAATATATAATTCTTCAGTTTTTCGATTTTAAACTTTTGGGTTTTTCAATTTTTCACATTTTGCGGTTTCTCGATTTGCATCAATTTCACGAGTTTAAAATTTTCCATTTTCAAATTTTTCGAGTTTTCAATTTTTCATTTCTTCAATTTTTCGGTTTTTCAATGACCTAATTGAAATTAATCGTAATTTTCTTTGTTATGGTACTTGCTATAAGATTTATTTTTTATTTCAGGAAAAAAAAATGAGAAAACGGGCGGATGGGTGGGGCTAAGTTTAATTTATTTCGTTCTAGTGATTACTCTTAATACTGTTCAGCTATTTATCAAAATTAATCTTATCTTAACAAATACTAGCCCCGCCCACCCGCCTTCTCTTTTCTTAGAGTGTATATAATTTGCCACAGTCAGTCTTATCTTAGCAAGTAATAGCTTTTGTACAGTGTCAATGGGAACTAACAGAACGTATGCTGCTAAAAAAAGGAAAAAAAGGGCCAATCGTAATTTTCTTTGTTTCTACATACTTGGCATTTTTTGTGATCTTTTTTATTTATTTAATTTGCCTTTCTTTTTCGCGCCTTTTTTTTGGAAACGTTTTTATCTTCTTTCTTTATCGCATTTTCCTTGCTTTTCTCTTATTTTTTGTATTTATCTGATGCCTTTTTTCGTCCCTTTTTGTTGCCTTTTTGTTTCTTTTGTCGACCTTTTTTGTTTGTATTTGGTGGCTTTGTTGCAGCATTTCTTCGTCGTTTTTGCCGCATTTTTGTGACCTTTTCTTTTTTTTGTCTCTCATTTTTTGTCCATTTTTTTATCAAATTTTTTGTGGACTTCTCTTTTTGTTGCCTTTTTGTCGGACTTTGTATCTCATTTTTATCGTTTTTTTTTTCTTTTTGATATTTTTTATTCTTTCTTGTGGTTTTTGTCGTCTTTGACGCATTTTGTATGTTATTATTTTTATTTTGTTATCTTTTCTATCGTTTATTCTTGACGCCAATTTTTAGTAATTTTCGAAAATGGATCAACAACATTGAAATTTTTTGGTTTTAGTTTCCTCGAGTTTTCAATTGTGAAATTTTTAATTTGTCTATTCGCAATTTTTGGTTTCGTTTTTTTCTTCTTTATTTTTCCAATTGTTCAGTTTTTTAATGTTTCGATTTGCGATTTTTAATTTTTCATTGTTTTTCTTTTATATTTTACAATTTTTCGACTTAAAGTTTCTCAACTTTTCAATATATAATTTTTCAGTTTTTCGATTTTCCAACTTTTGGGTTTTTAAATTTTTTAGATTGTGCGGTTTTTTGATTTGCATCAGTTTCACGAGTTTTAAATTTTCCATTTTCAAATTTTTCGATTTTACAATTTTTCGGTTTTTCAATGACCTGATTGAAATTAATCGTAATTTTCTTTGTTATGCTATTTGCTGTAAGATTTATTCTTTATTACAGGAAAAAAATGAGAAAACGGGCGGGTGGGTGGGGCTAAGTTTAACTTTTTCTTGTGGACTGTAGAGTCTTTTATAAGGAGGCAATAGCTCCGCCCATCCACCCCCTCTTCATTCTAGTGATTACTCTTAATACTGTTCAGGTATTTACCAAAATTAATCTTATCTTAGCAAATACTAGCCCCGCCCACCCGCCCTCTCTGTTCTTAGAGTGTATGTAATTTGCCACAGTTAGTCTTATCTTAGCAAGTACTAGCTCCGCCCACCCGCGGTGTTCTCATTCCAACGATTTTATTTCTGTTAAGTATAAGGTCCACCTTTCATTCTGGCTATATAAAATGAATCACTGAAATGAAGGCGGTGTGGGTGGGCGGGGTTAATTATATGTTCTTGTCTATAGTAGCAGTGGGAATGGAATTACTAGAATGTATGCTGCTAAAAAAAAGCACTAATCGTATTTTTTACTTCCCGAGCGTAAGCAAAGTTGTTTTTTTTTTGTTATACTATTTGCTACAAAATTTATTTTTTATTTTAAAAGCCGAAAAATGAAAAAACGGGCGGGTGGGTGGGGCTAAGTTTAACTTTTTCTAACAAAGTCTTTTATAAGCAACCAAAGGATTTTCCGAAAGTAAACACTTTTCAAATTTTGAAGGTAGAACCAATGTTCCAATTTTGACGCCTCCAACTTTCCTTCCAAACCGCAGTGCTCTTTCTTACATGAGGGAAAATTATATAAACGTTATCCATCGTTTACACTGTTATTACAATTAATTAAACTGCAGTGCATTTTCAGAAAATAGTTTCATTGTTTGGCTTTTTACTTCAAAAAATGAGAAATTATAAGAAATCACAGTCAAGTGGTTTGCTGCCATATTTTTAGGAAACTGGAAAACACAAAAACACTGAGACAAATGTTTATGATAAATTTGACAACAATTTTGGCATACACGTGTTTCTGACAACCAGTCATATAACCTAAAATATTTTAAAGTTGAAACTGTCATTTTGTGTCCACACTCTTAAAAACGACATATTCTATCAAGGCACTCTAGTCTATAAATGAGGCCAATGGCAGAAGTGACAGAATGAGTTTGACACTGACAGATGTGCGATGACAATGTTAGCTACGCCATACGTTCAAAAAACGTTTGCGACAATACAATAGAAGGAAACTTACTTGAGAAGAAAATTACTTAAAATTAGGACAAATAAAGGTGAAAACAATATAAAATAGAAATATCACAACGGTGAACAAAAATAAATTTCAAAATTATGTATCAAAGTGTAAGATATTTAAATTCTAAAATAAGTAACTTTTACATTAATGTGTGTTCTTCTGATATTGACATCATTCTGAAACATTGTTAAACGTCGATATTTTGCATCTAAATAATTGTTTTCTAACTATCTAAATTGAATTCTAACCAATACAAATTTAAAAATTTCTGTTATTTATTCACTTTGTCCACTTGTTGGTGAAGACAGATATCAATCACCCTGCATTAAAGTATCCCGATAAATGTTCGTAAATCTTCGTTTATTACCTTTACATCAATCGATTTATGACGTGGATTGTTCATTTTTGGAACATTTGGAGGATGTAGATGAAGCCTGTAATTTTTTTGTAGATACGTTTCTTCCAAAAAATTAATGTCTAAATCACAATATCCTCTATGATTTACTCAGAAAATTAAAAAAAATCGGCGTACTGATAAGCAACGTGCAAAAACACCATGTAATCCAGTCATGTGCCAGTTGGTTGCCGTCGTGTGTTCGATTAACTTATTTGATAATGGTGAATTTTTCCAATTCAAACTGGTTATGTTATATGGTGTGGCTGATGGAAACGCCAGGTTGGCCCGCGAATTGTGGATCGAGCGCTTTCCAAATCAGCGGTACAGCACTCCGAGATCATGGTACCTTCAAGCCTCAAACTCACGATCGTGGCCGTAATAGGATGCAAAGAATGCAAGCTGAAGAACAAATTTTGGAACGCGTCGAAGAAGAGCCCGACATCAGCCACTCGCCGACTTGCAGCTGAAGTTGAAGTTTCACATTTTATACTGCATCGTACATTAAAAGAACAAGGCCTACATCCATACCACGTTCAAAAAGAGCATGTATTATGAAATTGTTGCAATAAACAAACTATTATTGAAAATGCCTCAAAAAGTGAGATTCATTTTAAATATTATTTCCATAATTCCATTAAACTTTAACTACTAATCTTTCTCCCAAAAAATAACTCAAAACTCTACTCACGCTTGCAATAGATCTCTCCACACGCCTCATACATGGACTTCATACACAACGACTTGCAGCAACAGTAGCACGAAAAACACCCCAAATGGTACGCCCCATGCGAAGTCGGCACCTTCTCGGCGGCGAACACCTTCTCCCCGCACCTCTTGCACCTCTCAACACAGCAGTACTTGCAGCCGCAGCCGTTGCAAGGATTGCCGCAAGGACTGCCACAAGGATTTCCGCAGGGACTTCCGCAAGGACTTCCACAAGGATTTAGACACCGCGTCGTTGGCGGACACGGCTGAAAGAAGATCATTTTCTTGTTGCCCTCGCAGCAAGGCGAGACCTTGCAGGGTTTCCTGCGAACAGGGGGGCAAGGGTCGGGGCAGGGTCTCCTTTTGGGGCTTCGAGGGCAGCATTTCTGGCAGGGGCATCGCACGAAGCGCTGACGGGGCGGGTAGTTCATGGGTTTGGGCGATCGGGGGCGGCAGTGGATGCGCTTGAAGCAGCTTTCTTCGCAGTGGTTGCAGCAGTCGCGACAGTCGTAGGGGTTGCACTGGCGCACGCAGCAGGCGGGGATGCAGCTGCAGGAGTGGACGTCACGGGGGCGGCAGCAGCCCTGGAAAAAAATGAACTTATTATTCTTTATACTATTCTATTGCACTTTTTTTTAAATGAGACGCTATAATTTTGATCGGATTATTTGATAAAGCTTTTTTTCTACATACGAAATTGTAGCTTGATGTAGGGGTTGCAAAACAAAAAAAATGGTCGAAAGTTATTTCAACAGAACTTCCCTCACTTCTGAAATACAGTCCAACAAATACTGGTTCTCTAAAAAACTATAAAATTTGATTTTGCCGAATTTTACTGTTTCGTGATAACATCTATGGAGTAAAACAAATAGAAGGTACTAATCGTAGTGTAATAAAAAAAGATAGTCTCACTTTCGTAAAAAAAAAAAACAGGAGTCTCGAGAAGATTTAATATTCTCAAAAAAGACACTTGGGGCCCGCGAGAAGGTTTCGCCTTCTTTAAAAAAGGACAGTTAGTACCCCCGAGAAGGTTTCGCCTTCTTTAAAAAAGGACAGTTAGTACCCCCGAGAAGGTTTCACATTTAAAAAAAATACATTTGGGACCCCCGAGAAGGTTTTAAATTTTTAAAAAAGACACTTGGGACTCAGAGAAGGTTCCACATTCTTAAAAAAGATATTTGGCGTCCCCGAGAAGGTTTTACATTAAAAAAGACAGTTGTAACCCCCGTGAAGGTTTCATATTCTTAAAAAAAGACCTTTGGTGCCCCCGAGAAGATTTTACATTTTAAAAAAAGACAGTTGGGATCCCCGAGATTCCACATTAAAAAAAGACATTTGGGACCTCCGAGAAGGTTTTACATCTATTTGAGACCCCCGAAATTTCACATTCTTAAAAAATATGAAAGTGGCCATTCGTTCGATGAATTCGAATACTATTCTTCCTTAGCTTACGCTCGGGAAGTAAGAAATGGAGAAAATTAATAACAAACGAAATAAACATGATATGAACATGAAACAAAATGAAACTAAAAATTAAAACAAAAATCTATCAAAGAGAATTGCTTTTGTCAGTTTCTTAAGTTGGTTAGTGGTTGGTTTAATAAAATAAAGAATACTTTTTGGCTGTATGTAATCCGGTAGTTTGTGACTTGTAAACAAATGTTTCTTGTTTGCCTATACTTATGCGAAAGTCGCATAATAATGGCTCGTTTAACCGAAAAAGAGCGTATAGAAATCCTAATGATGGTAGTGTGACGACATTCCGGTTGGGACGGACGGTGACGGTCCGGAATCTCGCCGATATCGTGTGGTGGCGGCCTACCTGTGTGCCAAGCCTTGGGCCGACTAGTGTCGCTAATTTAAAAACACGTCTGGCCGACCTAAGCTTATGCAGCGACCGCCGGGGTTGCTCTCAAGCCGGAGACACGGATTTCAAGTGGTGAGCGCCCACGAAAACAGGAAAAAACCGTAGCCACAACCTTAGCTTCAAGGCAGAATCCTCTTCTTTCGCCACGACGGCGGTACGATCGCGGATTTACCCGCGGCTCTCGCGGAACCCGTCACGGTTTCCCGCCCGCGAAAATTCGGCTCGTTATAGTAGGTTATGGCAATAGGCTTCCAAGCCACGAACAAAGTACATTTTGAACTACCTCCAATCGATAAAAGCACAATTAGTAGAATTGTTGAAAAATTTACTCAAACAGGAAACGTGAGAGATGTTCCAAGATGTGGAAGACGAAAAATAAACGATAACACTAAGTTGAATATTTTGTGATCAAAGAAAATACAACCCCCATGTAACAACGATGGAAGTGGCTTTACAAGAAAATGTTAAGCAGTCGTCTGTGGTAAATTTTTAAAAAGGAGAATCTGCATTTATATAAAGTCCGACTCATCTATGAACTATCAGAAAATGATCCTGACAGCGATTGGAATTTTGTGAATGCTTCATGAGACATTGTGACGACAATCCCAATTTTTCAAATAGTGTCGTATTTTCCGAAGAAGCAACATTTTACTTAAATGGTACCGTAAATCGACACAATTGTCGTTACTGACCTCGAGATCAACCTTACTGGGTTCAAGCGGCACACACCCAACGTCCTCAAAAAAATAATGGTCGACATTTAGATCATCTTAGAAACAGTGCTTCCAGATCTAAACTCTACGTTTCCTGATCCAGATAATCCACAAAATTTAGATCGTAGGATTTAGTTCCAACAGGATGGGGCACCACCACATTATGGCTTAAATGTAAGGGTTTTTTTGGATAATCAATTTGATGGAAGGTGAGTTGGAAGGTGTGCAGCAATAGAATGGCCACCTAGGTCTCAAGATCTGACACCCCTTGATTTTTTTTATGGGGACATTTAAAAGTCGTGTTTACATGAACACACCCGATAATTTAGACGCCTTGAAGACACGAATTAGTCATGAAATGTCTCTTATAACTTATAAGTTTCCAAGGTATTGAAAATTCCGTCAATCTAGTCTGCCATCGTCTGGGTTTGCGTTAGATAGTGAATGGGGAACAGTTCGAACAATTTCTGTACCATAAATTTTTACTCCAACCTATTGTTCTGTTTTTTTTTTATATATTTATCATTAAAATCAAGTTTATTTTGTTTGGTATTAATTTTCTCAATTTTTTTGTTATACAATCCCTACATCAAATTAGATTTTCATACGCAGAAATATTCTACGTATTTTTTTGACATATACATATGTCAAAAGATGGAGAGTAAAATAAAAAGCGTAAATTTTGCCTTTACAAAATTGTCGTCGTCGCTGAAGACGATTTTTTGTCCCAGTGTGACCCTGTTTCCAATGATAGTTAAAAGGAATCTTTTAAGGTATTTCCGGATTCTTATAAGGAATCATCAGACATTTTTTAGGAGTATGACCTTGATCTGCTAATCTACAACACTGTTAGTATTCGTAATCTACAACAGACAATGCAATTTTCCAAATACGATTATCATGAATAGTTCCTGACAATTTAACACACACACTATAAATAATTCATCTGGATTACATGCCGCGTGCACGTTTACGCTTGGAAATTTTTTCCACAGATATGTGCATGTTTACAGTTTCCAAACACTAAATTTTTTACTGATTTTTACGACAAAGTTAACAGTTCCTCAAATCAAAGCTAACTTATACCAGTGTCGTATCGTCACCATGCCTAATTGAAATCCTACAAATATTAACAGAACAAAACACCAGATATTCATCTAAATCGCCCTCCTAATACAATACTTCCCTCAGCAATCTTTCCACAAGTAACAATATTAAAAATTAAATAAGTGTAAATTTAGATACACAGATGTTCCAACCAATATAAGAAATATCGCATCAAACCCAACACCAATAAACTTATCGAACCCCTCACTCACCGATTCGCTCGAATTGCAGCAAACTGGCTTCATCATCCTATTAGGACACTCAGGGTTGAAACTCGGCGTAGAATTTACCCGGCACAACTTCAAAGGGCAGATTTCTTGGTCTTCCGGGCAGCAATGCGTACAGAAAACTTCGCCGTAATATATCCTCGCTGAGTTAATGTGTAGAGGCCTATTGCAGTTATCTGAAGGGTGTATTATTGAAAAATTTAATCAGAAGGGTGTCACTCACAGCAGCAGAAGCAACCCTTATGCCAGACCTTGTTCAGGGCGATCTTGCCTGCAGTCGAACATATACCTTGACCGCAGCGTGCACAGCAAGACATGATATCACATTATTCTTCACAAAGGAAACACGAGGAATTTTATGTGGGGACAGAGATGACGGACTGAAAATTTTGACGTTGGGCCGAAATATCCTTACGTATTTGATTTTGCGGAGGCGATGGAGAAGGGAGACAAATGAGGGTGAGTGCAAGGGAAGTTCTTCAAGAGTTACAAAAAAAGTGAAAATGCTTCAAATTTGGTGCAAAGTAACAACGTGGATGATCTAATTAAAATTATACTTATTTTGTTGTACGTCAGGTAGTTTTTCACCTTGGTAAAATTGGAACGAAAGATGCGTAAAAATATCACCCCTGACAAGCTACAATTCACTCCATTTCCATTATTTCGCAATGAAAATCTGTATCATCACCCTCATTTTCAAATTCAGATTCTGAATCAGATTCACCTAGCGAAATAATGAAAGAAGGTATAGATTCGTACGAAAGATTTCCCATATTTTTTCCCAATCTGCCAAAATAAGTTTTTCACAATGTTTACAAAAATTTTGCCACATGCTTGGAGTACATTTAGAAAGCGCGTCAAGCCATAAATTCTCCATCCTATTTTTTAATGAAGGTTGAGAATTTATATGCTTGTTGTAATAGTTCTTACAAAATCCCCACGCCATTTCAATTGGATTATATTGACAATGGTATGGAGGTAATCTAAGAATTTCATGGCCACTTTCTCTTAATGTCTTGTCTACAAAATATCTTTTTTTTCTATTGTTTCTGAAGGGTTTAATTAAATCCCATAACTGTTTCTTCGAAAAATTTTTGTCAAATTCAACACTACGTTTAAAGAGCCATTACTGTATTTCACATTTTTTACTAGAAAAAGTGGGTGGTTTATCCAACTGAACCGAATGATACGGTGCATTGTCTAAAACCATCACACATTTTTGGTTCAACTTTGCCAAAGCAGGAATTAGCTGATTAACCACCCAATTTTGAAAAATTGTCCCGTCCATCGTTTTATGATAGTCTCTATCGTTATTTTTTGAATTTAAAAAATTGTTACAACCATCCAAGAACCCCGTTGAACAACCCGCGTGGAGAATAGTAAACCTTGATCCTTCACTTTTAATTTTGGTGGGATTGCTTTTTAGATCAGTATCGTGCACCCAGCGACGAATGGACGAATCATTTTGATAGATCCATGTTTCATCCAAATACACAAAAGTCAAATGTTCACAAGAATTTAGAAACTGTAAATATGTTCTCAAAAAAGTAATTTTGCCTGCAACTAAATACATGTTTTTGATCACATAGAATGTTGCGACCATTTACTTCCCTGTGTTTATAACCCATGGACTTAAGAATTTTGTATAATGTGGTTCGCCCCCCTTTAAATTCCAATTGTTCCCTAGAATATGCCAAAAGAGTATCTACAGTAAAATATTCGTTTTTTTCATTAAGTTGCCAAATTTGTCGTTGCAGGTCTTTCCGAAACATATAATTTGTAAATAAATCCGTTGGTTTTCGCTTGCCAGATAGTGATGTTTTTAAATTTTGGTCCCCTGTTGATAAAATTTTCGCCACAGTTGATGTTCCCACCTATGAGAAAAAAAATTAAAAAATATTTTACAGCGTATTTTTACATTACAGAAAATATGTTCGAGAACCTCATAGTTACTTCTTCGAAAGAAAGATCGGGCCTGTCTTTTCGAAACTGCAAAAAACATCTTTTTATTGCAATTTTTTGTTGCAGTAAAACTATTTTAGGCATTTTCTTTTTAAATAATGTCGCAATGATCTGTGAATCTGTCACAATGATGAATTATCTCTGCTGACAAAATTAAAACATGTTTGCTTGATTAAAAAATTGCGTCTAATAATTCTGATCTAATGAATGAAGTAGAAAAGTGGCAATCCAGTTCAAAGCAAATGTCAATCAGACTACTGACAGACAAAAATCTAACTCATCAATCAGTTTATCCAACTTAAAGAAAAAATATCAAAGCCTACTTTACTAGGTATATAAGGATCGTGAATGGATAATAAAGGAGGACTATCGGTCAGTATTTTTTACAAATCGGACGAGCACGAGCCATCTCCGACTACACCCAGGCCCTATTCAAGAAGCCTGAGATGAAGCTCTTTGAGCAGCTCGTCTTCCTCAACGCCTCCATCGCTAGCCAAAAAGCGCTTTCTCTGTTATTTAAAATATCAAGTAATATTTAAGCATGCAAGTATGTCATCCCCAGCTGAAAACATGAACAAACGTGTATGTAGATGCATCTTACAACATTGTCATCAAATATTAGCTTATTATTTACTGATTAAATTAACCATTGAAGAACAAGTCTTCTAAAGCCCTGGAGAGAGTAGCAAAAGCCGAAAAAAAGAAAGGAAGCCAAAACTGAAGTCCTAAATGTAAAGAAAATTTCAGAAAGAGTAAATCTTTTAGAAAAAATAAAAGCCCAAAAGAAAATCATCAGTATGCTTAATAGTATTTCAAATTTACGCGCCTACAGTGGTCAAAAGCTTGAGAAACAGAAATGAAAGAGGACAAACGCTAATTGAATTTTGCCAACTTAAAAACATGGTGACAACTAATAGATGGTTTAAACTTCCCAGGAGACTGTTATATGCGTAGACTTCACCAAGAAGAAAACTCCTAAAAAAAGTGGATGACAGATGAGATCCTTGATCTCATAAAAAAGAAGGCAACAAAAGGGTCACAGTATTCAAAACTATCGTGAAATTCATAAAGTCAAAAAGAAAAATAATAGAAGCGAAGAACAGATAATGGAGCAAAAGAAAAGAAAAGATAGGTATAGAAAGAAAAGGCCGACAGGGTATAATCAAAGACGAATCTGGCAATATAATCATAGACCTCCCGCCTATACTGAAAGGATGGGAAGAATACATAAAAGAGTTATTTGATGATGCAAGATCTGACATAGACGATACCAAGACCAATAAGGTGACAGATGAACTCTTAATTACCCCCCAAAGAAGTAGAATTCGTACTAAAAAGCTCTAAAAGAAACAAAGCAATAGGTTCACATCAAGTTCCTAATCGAGATTTGCAGTGGGGTTCTACAAGGATATATCCTGCGTTCCATGTTTTTTAACATATACTCGGACGAGATATTTCATCAAGCCTTAGATAACATACAAACAAGCTGGAGTAAGAATAAATGGAAAATTTATTAATAACTGTAGATACGCCGACGATACAGTTATAATTGCCACACAGGAAAGACCTACAGATGATGCTGGATAAAATCAACACATATGGTACAGAAAAGAGCCTTAAAATAAACATCAAAAACACCAAACATACCTATATGGTGATCCGCAAAAAACCAAAAGTTTGACAAACACGATTGAAGATTGATAGCACAACAATTGAAAGAGTCAACAAATATCAGCACTTAGGAAAGACATTGAATGAAGAAAATGACCATACAACCGAGATCAACAAAAATCAAAATGAAACATCTTCTAGTAAATAAAAGCCTGAATAAAGATCTAAGAAAGAGAATAGTTCGATGCTGTATCTTCTGAATGGTGTTGTATGGCGCAGAAGTCTGCACACTCAAAAAAGTGAACAAAAAAATTAATATTTTCGAACTTTAGATGTATAAACGTATGCTGAAAATACCCTGGAGAAATAAATTTACCAACGAGACAGTCTTGCAGAGAATAGAGAAAGAAAAATAACTTGTATATCACATATCCAAGGAAAGAGAGATGTATTAAGGAGAAGAACCTCATGGTTAAAAAATCTATGTGAATGGTTTCAATGCACGATCAGCAGACGTGTTTAGAGCTGCGATATCTAAAGTGTGAATAGTCGTCATAATTGCCAACCTCCGGTCAGAGATGCCACGATAAGAAGAAGAAGAAGAAGAAGAAGAAGAAGAAGAAGAAGAAGAAGATTAGGAACAGCAGATTGAAGAACAAGCAGGCACTCGCTTTTTCATCTAATCGCAGTAGAACATAGCATTTCAACGAGATTTTAGTAATAAAAACGCAGTAAAATCTACGGGCACTAACTACATAACCACATAAAATATTTTGTGCATTTGTACATTTATTACGTTTAAATTGTCTTACAATAAGTCTCACATTGGATAAAATAATTCAATTTGAGTTGTTCAGTGATTAGCTAGTAGTAATCTTGAATAATATATTGCAATAGAACTTGAAATCTTTATTTTCTCCGAAGTTTACAATCTTGTATTTGTAATGTCAATTCTATATAATAATTATTTTCCCGTTTCCCCGGAAAACACCCACACTGCCTGCTTTTTAAACCCAACACTGAGTGAGGTAGCAGGAGGAGTAAATCCTCTAGGACGTGTCACGATGCTGCCGATGGAGGTGTTGAAAAACACGAGCTGCTCGAAGGGCTTCATCTCGGGCTTCTTGGGTACCGCCTGGGTGTAGTCGGAGATGGCTCGTTTTACGGAGTCGCCCACTACGACCAGCATCAATTTGTGCAGATTGATTAAGCCTGAACCTAGTGTGCTCCGTTATCAATTGCTCTAAATTGGAGTTGTTTAAAAACTGAATTGGGTTTCTGGATTTTGAACTAGCCGGAATAGCATCACTGAGCCAATCGATATCTGAGTAATTAAAGTCGCCACAAATGACTAGTTTGGAATTAATATCACTCATTTGAAGAAGTTTGTCAAATAATAAATTATCGTTTTCTTCCGTGCTATAGTGAGCTCTGTATAAACACACCAGAAAAAACTAGATGCGACTGGACAAAAATTGAGGTGTAACAAGTCAGTGTCACCAATGTGGCAAGGTTGCGATATTATTGAGAAGTTTGTAAATTTAGAGTTTTTGATATAAATAAAATATTCGAGTTTCATATAATAAATGTTCTATTCTTTCTGCTTGCTCACCCCTTGCCATAGTTCCCTTATCTTCCGTACTTCTTTCATCCAGTCCAGTCCCCTTCTATTCTCGTTTAGCCCTTCTTCCCTACTTTCCTCCAATTCTCTCAATCCTTCACATCTTTCCACCATATGCTCTATTGTTTCTCCCTCTCTCCAACATGTCCTACACCTTCTGTAAGTTTCATCCATCCAAAAATTATTTTCTTTCTCTTCATTTCCATACCTAAATCTCGCCATCATTCTCTTCTCCTTTATACTCTCACTCTGTGTGTACTTTGGTAGTTCATCCTTTAGTATATTTCTATACTCTGCATTATATCTAGACTCCGATATTCTCGATCTGC